GAGCAGATATGCTCAGAAAGCAGGTCCGGCGCTTTCCCGGGATCAGAGAGGGATGAGGAGTATTTTGATTATGAGCCGACGGGTCCTGAAGCGTCTCTCTCGGCTCTTTACAGAGAGCCCGCTGAAGGGAAGAAGTGGGGAGAGCGGCTTCAGCAACACAGGCTCTGTTAGAGCAGTAATTGTTGTTGTAATGAGACGCTGGTGCAGTGGATTAGCTCTCTTTAGGGGGAAAGCAAACATCAGACGATCATTAAGTCTCCTGCTTGGTGTCTTTTCATTTATAGGAAGACGGCACGACACGCTAACACGGAATGTGTTAGGCACACTTACAGAAAGCTTTGACTTATGGGTGATTAGGGCTGCAACTACTTATCCTTATTGACTAGTATCGCAGTGATTTTTGCAATTTATCATTTAGCCTAGAAAATGTTCCCAGATGCTCATTGTGAGGTCATCAAATTGCTTGTTTTGTCTGATCAATAGTCAAACCAAGGCGATCCTCCGGGTCCTAAAATTGAAGCCAATGCAGAAGTGTCTTAAACTTGCATTCTTTCTAATGGCCATCAGGGGGCGACTCCTCTGGTTGCGAAAACAATTCAGATTGTATAGAAGTCTATGAGAAAATGACTCTACTCTATTCCTCTCTGTTAACATCTTTGTTGGAGTGAATTCATGTGTGAGGATTCTGATCATATTGGTCTCGTAGTATGTTTTTTGTGACCTATTAGTGACCCCTGCTATATAATAAAACGGACCATAAAGCAGAGTACGCTTTAGGGCGAGACTACCTTGTGATTGAAATGGCGCTACCACGGAGTTGTCCGGTCTGGGTGTCTGCATTTTTGTTTCATAACTTCAAACCTTTCAGTGTGTTTTCAGTTCATGAAAGTGGATTATAACATTTTGGTCACATACGAAATGCCTTAATCACCGTCCGGTTGTACTTAGCCCCACCCTCTCATGTCACTTATGGTTGCAAAAAAGCAAACTGGCAACGGCCAAAAACCAAGATGGCTAAATGTCGAACTCAAAACGATGAGAGATGTCCTCTGATTACGTCCACTTCTTTTTTAAAGTCAATACAAAAATATAATTTAAAAAAGGAAAGAAAAGAAAAGTAGGAAAATTAAATGGAACCAGCAAATGGAAGGCATTTTTGCTTGATTAATGGTTAATCAGTATTAGTTCATTGTCAAGTCTTCTGTCCTGTGAAACATGAAAATCCTAGGAAATGGATCTCTCAAGGACATGTGGGCAAACACTGGAGTCCCCAACGCTGTTGTAGAGGACGGACGGATAGATGGGGGGGGGGGGGGGGCAGAACAGTCTTTAACAGGTTCTCCGGTCCTCATGTGGAGCTCTGAGGCCTGCTGCAGTACACCGCTGAAGGTGAACGGCTCTCTTTCTGGTCCGTCTTAGCTCACAGAGTCCAATGTGGGAAAGGGTTTTTTTTTTTTATTGCACCTGGGAGATGCATTAAGGGCACAATGAACTTTGACCTTGGGCTAGATCACCCTGGCAACGAGGGCCACGGACAATCGCTGCGCTTAACGAGAGCTGCGAGCCCTTTCAGGTCGTATAAATGCTTGAATGCGTTGCATTCAAAAGGCTCCAGTTTGTGAGCTCTTGTAAAGTCCTGTGAGCACTTTCCCTGATGCGTCTGTGAGAAAGGAGAACGCACCGCTAATGAAAACCCTTCGGTTGTTGCTCTTATCAGTGAGGTTTGTTATAATGGGGAATGTACACACCTTTGTTTCATTAGAACCTTGTCATTAAGCCATTCTTTTATTAGCCTTATATCAGTTATAAAAGCCCGTCTTTCATTAGAGGAACATCTCAAAGCCTTGCCTTCATTAGCACGAGCTTGTGAATGCTGGATGCCATTTCATTAGCGGCCTATCTTTAATGAGGAAAGCGCCAGCGTGTTTACATTTCTCTGATCCCCCCTCTCCCGATCACCGCTAAGGATAATGCTGATTGGCCTCCGAGTGGGGGTGGCGTTTGAGCTCGTCCTCCCCACCCCTGAAGATTGGATCATACAGTTATTAAAGCCAATGTTTCTCAGACGCGAAGAGCAAGATCAAACGTTCCTGTAATCAAGGTTCGGCTTACAGTACACGAGGCCGAGGCGCATTGATGTGGAAGACTTAATGACGGGACGTGCGGCGGTCTCACAGCTCATGACGGCAGATCCCGGGGAAAAACAAAACCTGCGCAGACACGTCCGAGCCGCTGCTGCCGCGCTTTCATCGTTCACTTTGAGGCTCGGAAAAGCGAAGCCCCTCCACTGAGAATGATTCACAGTTACACGCCTCTGAAATCCAAATATTTGTTCTGTTTGATGACTCGTTTTGTAATTTGATTTCTCTGAAAATGGCCATTTATGTATTTTACATTGAAACAGAAACCATACTTTTAACATTGCTCCAATGTATGGCATGCAGTGCTGGACTTCTTTGGTGGTGTGTGTGTGTGGGGGGGGGGGGGGGGGGGTCTGCTGTCTGCTTGGTTTACTCCTGATTTTTGGAAAAGTCCAGTTTGACTGGGAGCCTGGGCTCACATGTTAATGCCTTAATGTTCAGCGACACTGCTCCGAGCTCCATGCCATGTGTCATTGTTTGGCCTTCAACCCCCTTTGTGCAACCAGGAATGTGCCTGGAGAATGTGTTCCTGGAGAATTCCTGGCTGATTGTAATATATGGAGCGGGATCTTTTGTCTTTTCTTTTTTTCAATCAAAATCTTCCGAGATTCTTCCAAGAAGAAACCGAAAGTGCAAAATGCACCTCATTCATGAGAACTGAAAAATCCCCTTCTGCACTGAGGTACTCAAGTAGGAGGAGTACTTTCGAGGTAGTTTTAGTGTGTATAATCTCAGCGCTCGGAGAGTAACTAAGCACCCTTAAATATTCTGATGTCCAGATGATAGAAAGATGGAAGGGTTGGTCGAGAAAGCTTGGAAGAAAAAGCACGACGGACTATTTAACAGTCTTTATTTGGTGGATGACAATTACAAATGCTTTAGTGTTTTGTAAAAAGTTTGTTGGAGACGTTACGGTCAATTGTGTGCATTGTTTCTTTTTTACTGTGGTACTTTTTGTAGTATGATTTTGAAATCTGTGCTCTAACATTCTGGATTATATGTTATTTGTATGCGCGAGTAGACTTTACTTCCCCATCACTACCATCATCGTGTACATCTTCTATTGATACACAGATAAACTCACATTCTGGCAAGTAATACTGAAATGTTGCTAGATGGTGAAAAACGAGTTTCATTGTGTTTTTGCAGTGAACGAATCTCTAAAGATTGACAACAAATGCACATCTTTTTCCAAAGTTAGTCACAAACACACGCACGGTCTTGACTGGAATCAGCCATCTATTGAGCTGTTATGTAGAATCAAACACGGAGACGTAGATTGTCATCACCCATGCCCCATTCCAACACGATACTGTGTTTAAGCGTTGCTGCTGTCGTTTTCATTCAAATTTTCCTTTCAACGTCTGATAACAGCCATAGCGTTATTATTGTTAATGTGCTCAGCAACACGGAGATGAGACGAAGCGTACGAGATGACGCGTGTTTGCTTCTTCTTTAATGAGTCTTATTAAAGCCATTGTCTTTGCTCTCGCCGGTCCAGACTTGCTTTGCATCGTCAGTCCCCTGCTTCATCACAAAACCAAATCAAAGCTCTCTCTCTCACACACACACACGCACACACAGACGCACACTTTTTTTCTTCCGGCATCCACACAACCGTGTGTGCACACTCACGCTCGCACACCCTTATGAGCAGCATCAGCATCCCAGACAGCTTATCATGGGGAACTAATTCAATATCCCTCCGCCTGTTTTTAAATGTCACTCTCTGAGCTCATCCGGAGTGACATGTTTTTCATGGTGGAAATAAAGGCGCTTTATTGGGCTCAGAAGGCGGTGACAGGGGGGGTAGTGGGTGGGGGGTGGGGAAGATACTCCGTCTGCCTCTCTTGACGTTTGCTGGAAATCTAAAAAAGGTCCTCACGAGGAACGAATAAAGTTTGAATTTTTTTTTCCATCGGAGAGGTGCCGATGAGATCCGCATGAGCCGCCTAGATGAGGACGGAGCGAATCCTCCTCTGGCTTCACGCACTCGCTGCTGCTCTGAGGCCACAGTGTCAACGTGATGTGAAATGCCAGCCATGTGCCACTTTTAAGTCCACAGCATCTACAGGGATATTCAGGAAGAAAAGGCCGTTAGAGGTTTTGCGATTTATTGTTGGGTTCAACTTTGTGGTGCATGTACTTTTATTTTTTCAATGTGTAATGCATTAACTGAAGAGATATTCCAGCAAAACATTTCTACTGTAGGTTGGTTTATTTATTGCTCTTTCTCTGGAGAATGTCAGTGACGGGTGAATGCTGGTCTGGAGGGGGGGGGGGGGGGGGGGGGCCGCACGACGCTCGGCGGGTTGGGGGGGGGGGAGTACAGCCTACTCAGTCGCCTCATTGTGCCGGATAATGACTTCCCTATTGAAAATGACCCCCCCGTGATCCCAGAGACAGACAGTAAGACGGCCTCGTCCAGCCTCGTCCAGCCCCCCCCCTCCCCCGAGGCACCCTGATCTGGCATTTCGCTCCGCACAACCTCGGACCCCTTCCTCCAAGGCACGGCCGCATCCGCCGTTCTGCGGGGGGCTCCGTCTCCGCTCTCTGGAGCCGTCGCCCCGGGGTGCAGTGAGCTGGTGAGAGGGGGGGTCAGAGCCAGGGCCAGCTGGCTACAGAACTTTGAATGTGAGAGGTTGGCCGGGGTCTGACGGTGGCCCGATGCTGGCCGGGGGTTATATTTTTGAACTTGCTCTTCACCCCAAACGAAGCTGGAGTCCACATTTATTTTACCGGCATCCTGTTTAACGTCTACTAGAAGACTTTTTTTTTTCTTTTTGTTCTTTCTGTTTTATTCCGTCTCCATCTTTTCTTTCTGTCTTCTCATCTTTTCCTTCATGTCTTTCATTCCAGGGTTCCTGAAGCCCCAGTGCTCGTTGGCTCATCCCATGCAGCGAGGTCGCTCGGTCGAGGCTTGTTCCTGCTTCAGCGGCATGTGTCACCTCCACCAGCGTCGCCTGTCCTCAGGTAACACTCGCTGTGTAAAACAGCCAAGCTGCTACATGGTACTTGTAGGTAAAATGTAGGAGAATGCTTGTGAACACAAAATGTATGTACTTGAGACTGTCTAATCATCCAAAATAGCATCTAATTTGATTTAGTCTGTTTCAAGACATCGAAGGCAGTTCAAAATGATATTTTTAAAGTATTTCTCTGCTGCACACACACACACCCACACACCACCACCACCAACGCCTGCAGTTAGAGGTGTGGCTGGGGGCCTTTTTTCGGAGGAAGTGTTCAGTCTGGTTTTCCTGCTTAATGGTATCTTTGCATGCGGAGCCCCAGTGACGGACAAGTTAACAGTTTTGCTCCCAGATCGGCCCCTTCCTCCAAACCTTGTGCTTTTGAATTAGCTCAGAGTTCTGCCTCCTTAGGATTCGCTCCTTGTTGTTGGTTAAAAGGGTACCAGCAAATAGTATTCAATGTTTTCAAAAAATCTGGTCAATTAGAATCTGAAAAGCAACAACAACAATCACAAACAAGACCGTCCTTAATAAGCTTTAAGTGGGAATGTGAATGACAGCATATTGCTCTAATATATGTTTGCCTGGGTGTTGCAGGGACCGTTCTGTAACTGGAAACATCTCTAGAGAAACGACAACACTTATATTTGTCCAACATGTATGAAGAAATGGCTCCCGTTTTGTATTCTTCCTCCTCTAAGAAGAAACTAGCCAATGTTCACAGGCATGCTTCGCTGTATCGCGGACGTGTTTCGGCACGATCGGCGAGCCGCGCAGCTTTTTCCACCGACCCCCCCCCCCCCCCCCCC